GGGTTGTACATCTCCGGAAGGTCAATCTTTCTCAAGGATGCTCGGAGAGTCTTCCCACGGGATGGGTGGCACAGAAGGCTTTCCAGCATCAGCCAAGATAGCCCGTTCAATATGGATATGATCGGGTTTTGTTGTCCATGGGATAGCCCTGGCTGTCTGAATACCAACGAAGTCAATGGCAGGTGTTGTAGGCATCGCGCCAGGAGCTGGAAATAGGCCTGCGCGTAAGGAGATGCTGTGATGTCGATTGTCAGATCTCGGGTAAAGCGATCGATGTACGTGAACGTCGGTCCGTGTCCCACGAGGCTGCTGGCTGAGGGGAAATTGGGGCCTAGGCGGACCCGAATGGCGCTCTTGTATAGGGCTTCGAGACCGATCGTCCAAAGGGCTTGACAACTGCGCATGAAGTTGGGCAGATCGTGTTGACCAACCTGAACAATGTTAGCTCCAGTTCTCATCGGTGCTCGCAGACTACGGAGCTATCTCAAGCTTGAATGAGCCAAGCTGTGGGTGAGCCAGCCTCCAGGCCATGCTATAATCATTAAACTTACCGCTTGGGCGATCTGAAGGACCAAGGCGGTGTCGAGGTCAAGGAGTTGAGTTTTGTTCCTTCCCTTAGATTTCGGCGGTCGCTTCAGCCTCTTGGAATCGGGTGTCGATGTAGTGTCGCCCGCAGAGGTAGGCTTGCTCTCAATGAACTGCCATCGTCGCTTGCTCAGTGCGCCTTTGGTCGCGCCATTTCCGGGATCTGCGGAAGACTTTCGCGGCGCCATTGTCGCAAAGATTTGACAATACAACTGCTCGCGTTGAAGAATGGACTCAGAGCCTGGCGAATATCCCTTGGTGGGATCTAGCCAGTCGCGTGGTCTGTGCGCAGGTGAATGCAAACAGACGCGACAGCCAATGGAACGACAGGAGAAGGCCAAGCCCGGAGGCGGCAGCCTTGCGCGCCGTAGCTCCTCTGTCTATAAGAGTCTGCCCACCGTCTTCTAACTGCTCTCCTCACCACCCTCCACCTCACACCGTCTTCGGCTGTGGACTGGGAGAAGTCGAGAAGAGCTCAACCCGAGCTCAGTGACATCGGAGAGCCCGATAAGGTAACGTCATCTTCACGAGAGCCCCTCGTTCACATTATCTGGAGCCGCAGGCGGGCTCCAGCCGTCCTCGCTAACAAGTCTTCTTCCACTCTTTTCACACAGCTTGTCCAATACTTCCTGATACCTCGGCTCACAAGCGTTAAGGACTGGGGTGGAGACGTTGACGGACGCTTACGACCCTAGTCTCACGGGGTGTCGTTGCGCTGACGAGCATTATGTGTCGGCACCTCAACGCTCAAATTCGATCTGTGGTTTTTGCAGTGCTACCTACGATCGACGGAACGGCGACATCCATGCACCTTCTCCACACTCCGCCAAAGGGAAGTGCGATTTCGCGTCTACCCTTTGCCCGTTTGTGGTCTCGCCGGGAGGTGGTGAGCAACGGTATCCTTCGGGATTGCTCATCTCACACGGCAGGAAGCAGGCGGAGCTCGTCTCCAGCAATGGACTCCGGTCCAGCTTCTGAGTGACAGGTACTTACGGGAAACCGGCTCTTAGAGTGGATGTCGAAGATGCGGGAACGTGAGCCCGGTTACCACAACGAAGGTCTCGAGACCTAAGGTAGAGGCTTATTGGGGCCTCTACTGACGATCGAACGGCGGAACCAACACCCACCTTTTTTTCGTTGACATTGCTGCTTTATGCAGTCTGTTGAAGAAGATACGTCCGAATAACATTGAGGGAATGAAGCAGAATCGATGAACGCGCTTTTCACTTCGACTGCATGCTGTCGTAGCATATCATCGGAGTGTGAGAGTTGAGATGATGTCGGCAGCTCTTTCTCCAGCTGGGCAGCTACGCCACCCACTAACCGCAGTGGGTATAGTGTTTCCGCGTCTCCAGATGTCCCCAGCCCAGCACTGGAGGAGACCATGAGCATCAAGCATCTGATACATACTCTATTCTGTCTCCTCCCTCACAAGTCTGCAATGTCTGGGAACCGATTTGGCGATCAACATGTCCGGAATCGAAAACCACGCCCACAGGATCAAGGCCCGCCCGTGCCACCAAAGACTCTCAGTAGCTCCATCAAACGCGCCGCAGCACCCAAACCTTTGAGCCTGCATGCGCACACCAAACCACTACCATCAGTACCTTCTTTACCGTTAGTCGCTTCAGTCACGGAAGAGCAGCAATCAAAACCGCTGCCAGCACCGCCAAAGGACTCCACATTACGATTGACCTTGCTTTGGGTAGCAGCCTTCTGTGTATGGTTTCTCCTAATCGTAGTATTACTACCCGTAATCACAGAGAAAGACGCAATGCCCGGTTTCAACAAATGGCTTCGTACGTTACTATGACTGAAGCTGCCTCTATATCCCCCACAAGAAAGGCCTACAACTTCGACTCCGCCTTCGTAGCATCCACCAAACTCTTCCTCCCACCAAACCCAAACAAATACGCAGCAACCTTGCGCATCTGAATCTCCTCGCTCCCCTCAGTAATCCTATACCGGCGATGGTGTCTCCAGATATGCTCAAACGGATAATGCCTCGAATACCCATTCCCGCCATGAACCTGGATGGCGCGGTCCGCCGCCTGCGTACACAGCCTATTCGCGTAGTAATTACACATGGACACCTTATCGCCAATCTTCTTCTCAATCTCACCATGCGGCATGGAGTCCATCTCCAGCGCCGTCTTCCGGATCAGTTGTCGCAGCATCTCGCATTGCGTGGCGAGTTCGACGAGCGGGAACTGGATGCCTTGGTTGTGCGAGAGCGGGGTTCCGAAGGGTGCGCGTTGGTTGGCGTATTCGACAGATTGCTGGACGCAGTAGACGGCGGCGCCGAGCGAGGATGCGGCTTGGCGGATGCGGTTCTCGTGGACGAAGGCTTGGGCGACGCCGAGGCCGTTGTGGATGGGGCCCAGCAAGGCGGTCTCGGGGACCCAGACGTCTTTGATTGAGACGGTGGCGTGGTCGGTGGGCATGTTCAGTGTCCTGGGCGTTGTTAGCATGTAAGATCCAGCGCTGTGGAGCAGACGACGTACCACTCATACGACTCTGCTTTGAGACCTGGCGTCTCTACCGGTACGACGAAGCACGAGATGCCCTTGATCTCCCCGTCCTTTCCAGACGTCCTCGCAAAGACCGAGCAGTGTGTAGCGTGGTGCATACCAGTCTGCCACCGCTTGTATCCATTCAACACCCATCCCTTCACACCGTCCCTCGTCTCTGGACGCCCCTTTGTCGCCATGTGTGTCGCATCCGAACCATGACCGGGCTCCGTCAAGCCGAACGTCATCCTGAACTTGCCCTGCAGCCGCAGCGGTATGAAGTCCTTCTTCTGCTGCTCGTTGCCAAAGTTCATGAGCATGATGACGTCGGGGAAGTTGCCGACCATCGAATGCTCTGTCTGCAAGTCGTTGAATAGGCCCAGTCCCTTTGCAGCGAGATGCTCTCGGATGACGGCCATCCAGAGGTTGCTCCCTCGTCCATCGGCACTGTTCTGGCCGCCGTATTGCTTTGGCAGCGATAGTCTGTAGAAGCCGGCTTCATCGGCCAGTCGCCTTGACTCTGCCAATAGCTCCTCCCATTCCTTGCGCGGCAGGCCGCCGTTGTCCCAATCCGTTCGAGCGTGCTCGCGGCGGTGGTCGAAGAAGCGGTTGTTGTCGTCTTTGTGTTGGAGCGGGGTGATCTTCTCGTCGATGAATTTGTCTAGATCGGCGAGGTATTGCTTCAGATCGTCGGGGATCGAGAAGTTCATCGTGTGCGACAGCGACATCGTGGAGGTCTCTTGATTGGTGCGGTGCGTGGAAGACAATGAGACTGGTGTCAGCGATCTGGATATTTCTCAATTGAAAACGTCAAGCTAGGAGCTTGCGGTATAAGGGCAAGCATCGGGACGCGCATCTTGATGACTCGCTTGTTCTCAGTCGTGGAGTTGCTGTGCCTGGGAGCTGCTTTGCGGGGAAAGAAGCACAGGCCAAGCGGAGTTGACCTCGGCCTCAGCGGGCGTGCCTCAACCCATCACCCAGAACGCGAGTAACGCACGCACGACATCCCCAATCACGAACGCCATGTCTAGTCGCTAGGGTCGCCTCCGAGAACAGACTTCTGTCCCGCTCTTACGGCTGCCGATAGATCACCTCCCAAGACGCAGCGATGACCTTGCAATCCATGAGGGCCCTGAGAAGAGAAGTGCGCGGATTGCGTCCGATCAGACACCGCAAACTTTACAACAAGCCATAGTATTCGTGTAATATATACCAGTGTTAGCAACCCGAGAACTGGAAATTTGAAAAGCCGGGTCGTCGACATCTCGCATCGTCTGACACGCCACAGCTAAGTCTCTTGCGGCGAAAACATTGGTTCATCTTGAACTGCATCCAGTAGTCATTCTACGCCCATACGCATACAATGTCTATTGTTTTGTATATATCGCAAACGAAACTGCATCAAATAATTTTTCGGTACAGTGTCCTGCTACACATTCATCCATGGTTCAGCTGGGTATTCTCCACTTATCGCACTTTCGCTACCAACGTATGGGCTTCGGCAATAACCCGTACGCATATAAATCGGCTCGTACTAGATTTACTTCTTCTTTTATCAACTGCACTGAGATCTAGCCTGCCATGAATTCTCGCCTTCCCGCTATGTCCGAACCACTGGATCCAGTTGTGACCCCCCAGTCACCAGTCGAGTCATCTATTGGAAATGCCGGCCTGGAACATGACGCCAAAGACACTGACACTGCGCAAAAATCTACCTCTCTTCGAGACCATCAAGGCACTATCGAGCTCAGGGCAAGCAGCATTGTGCGAGAGTGCGAGCTCTATATGAACGGCTTCCCGGGTAGAGACAGTATATCTGGCAATCACACATTTCATCCGGCTATCAGGGGATTTATCAGTGGAACGGTTGAGCCAACAGAAGAGAACCTTGACGCAATTCACGATATGATCAGCTATCGCAACAACTTAGCAAGGCTAGCAATGCATCTACTGGACGCCACCAACATTCCTCAGCCCAAAGGCTTGGACATATTCGACTTCGATAAAGACAACTTCGAGAAGCGCATGTCAGCGACGGCTCAGGTTAGGTGCATCGCTGCCTGGCAGTCTCTCCATACTGGATTGCTACCCCGCCCTGTTGAAGATGAGCAGCAACCACAAGGCCTCCCGTGGCACAAGCCAAACTGGTATATTGCTGCGGCCATTACGCTTGATAAGTCTATCAAGACTAACGCTGATATTGAAGATGCTGTGGAACGTATGAGGGTTTGTAAGTACCTATCGTTATGCTCCTCTAGAGGTTTCACTAACTTCGATACGCAGACTACAAAGACCATTGTCAGGAATTCAGGACACTGCTCCACTACGATGGTGAGCTGACACACAAGGAAGAACCTTAGGAATGAGGTCTCTGCATAGTAATAGCATCATGTCATCCAATGCCAGCGCAAAGGATTGGGGAGGCGGAGTAGCAGCGGCGAATGCCCAACAGTGGATAAACGACACTGACTGGAGATAACCGGCAAATACAGTCTATCTACACCTCGGCAACAGGAAGCTTGCTCTAGATGTACTGACGGGATATCACACCAGCAAGATAACAAGACACAATACAACGTATGACTCCAGGCTCATATTTGAACTCAAATAACGTCAACTTCACTCATCTCGTAGACCCCTACTACCCCGTGCGTCAACACTCAGACTTTACGGAAGCCCTTGTACCACCGCCTTTTCACGCCATTCTGCTCCGACGCAAGCTCATCTTCCGCCCGAATCTGTTCGTAGTCATCCGAAGAAACCGTCGCAAAAGACTCTGCCGATGAGTTCTCCTGCGACGTTCCCACGCCCGCGCCACCCTTACCGGTACCTTCATCCGTCGCATTGAGTACCTTCAAAAGCTCCGCTTCTGCCTCAACTTGCGTCCGTCCACCTAGTTCCTCCGGCTTTGTCTTAGATCCAGCCCCATCACCCAACCCCCCTTTCCCCTTCCCGAGCTTTGCTACGTCCAACCCCACTGGCACAGCGCTCTGCCGCTCGAACGCTTTCTTCTTCGGCGACGACGACGGAGGCGGTAGATCCTGAAATGGTTTCAACCCCGCTATCGCTTTCGTCAACTTCTCGATCTCGTCTTCTTGAGCATTATCCTCACTACCATACACACTACTACCCGCACCATCCTCCACCTCCTCCTTCTTCATCTGCACAGCCGGATCATCCATCACACAACCCCCCTCCCGCTCATCCACTCCCGGCACCTGCATACCCGGAACAAACTCGGACGCATGCCGCTTCTCCTCTCGCGACGTGACTCTAGGAATACACCGGCTTTCCGAGTCACTTATCCTCTTGACCAACTCGCGCGGGATATGTCGCTCGCCGTCATCAGTAGGCTTGTCCTCTTGGATGTCGCCTTCAAGTTTCGCAAGCGTTTTCGCTTGTTCTTCTGCGCGGAGAGCGAGGACGCGGTCGAGCGTGGGTGTGCGATCGACACTTCGTCGCTTGTTTGCTTTGCTCAGCGGAGACGGAGCTTCGTTGATCGCGGAAAGAGGGGTGGTGTATTGGGTTGAAGTTTCCGCACTCTTCCTCACCGAAGCTGTCCTAGACTTTGCCAGCTTCCCCGATATTATTGTTGGGTTCTCGAAAGCGAATCTAGGTAGAATAGGGGGAAGAGGCGCGCTCTTCCTCTTTACTACTGTTGTCTTTGGCTCATGTTCAGGTAGCGGTGGTAATGGCTGTTCTGCCTTGCTCTTTCCTCGCTTCTCTGTTGCTAGTTTGATAGCATCGGTGGTGTCCTGGCGCAGCTTTTGATTCACGTCTTTCGTCCCGAGGAAGTTGTATTTATCTGGGCTTTTCAGGTCGGTGTGGTTCCGCGGGTCTGCGGCATCGAAGTAGGGTGTGAAATCCCTTCTATTGCTCTTGTTGTCTTTGATAGCGGTCCTAGATGTATTTTTCGGTGGGCTAGATGTTGGATGGGTTACTGGATTTTGTGCATACGGTCCACCGCCCACAATCTCAGCATACGGATTATGCCATTGGTGTTGACCGTACGTTTGGAGACCCGTTACCTGATCCTGCTGTTGCTGTTGCTCGCCATGCGTAGTTCCAGTCTGACCAGCAAAGTTCTTCTTCGCGTATGCTCGATCTAGATTTAGAGGCGTTGCATTGGAGATATCGTGGATTGCGCCGCTTGCATCGTCCCAGTACGGCATTGTCTGCGTATCATATTGGAATGGATCGCTATTCCGCTGCGCATTCCGAATCGACTCAGTATGCTGACTTTGAGGTTGCAGGATCTGTGGGGCGGGGTTTGGATCACTTGATGCTTGAACGTGGCCGCGTCGGTGTGGGTAGCGGCTTCTGGGTCCGCGAGGCGGGTTCCAGTTTGGGTCTGGCTGTGTCATTTTGGGGGGTTGGAAGGATATCTAGGGTGTGCGGGTTGAGGGGAGTCAAGTGCAGTAGTGTCACAGTGTAAGGGTAATGGGTCTTTTGACTTGCTTGCAGGAGGTGGTTAATTTTGTAGAGTGTGGAGTGCGAAAGAGGAATGAGGTTCTGCGGCGAGGTAGACGGATGTGCACGCCGTATGTGAGTATTGTGTGAGTGAATGAATGGGGGTTGTTGTGCGCTGTGCTAGCCGCCTGTTGCTCTAGTCATTTAATCACTGATGAAAGATGGTGTTCGAGAATGTGCGCAGGTCTTGAAGCTAAGAGATTTCACGTCATAAGATTGGAAGTCAGCGCTACAGAAGGTCATGAGTAGTAGCACCTAGCTGTTCTTCTAGTGATCACTTCAGCAATCATCCTGTCATACCGGTCAATCGCATTTACAACAAGGTCTTCCCATCAACTCGTAATTACTCAGAACAGCTTCTCTTCATGCTGCTAGTGTCAACGTGGCACCTTGCCATTGAAGGCCGTCGGAATGTCTCGGTCGACCTCTTCAAAGTCTTCAGTCAATTCGTCCTCATACTGTACCATCTCAAAGCTCTCACCTAAACCTCGTTCTTCATCATGCCCTGTCTTCGGCCTTGTGTGTGACGCGTACGGCAATTTCGACTCGTCTGTGGTCCCGTTCTGCGTCTCGTTGGCGTTCATAGCTTGTTCATCACATTGTGAGTAAGTAAACACCTGGCCAAATTTATCGATACCTTGAAGGGGCGTATGTGGCCTACGGGCCTGGCCAACGCCGTTGCTCCTTGACGTCAGCGCATTACTGAGGCCGGGAGTGATGTCTTCCATGTCCCCGATCTTAGGTTGGCGTCTTCCTGATGCATCACGGATGGGTGTGTCGTGTGTACCGAACCGAACTCCAGACTTCCTTGATCGGCGTGCTATATATTCAGCAGTGGGCTGAGGATCTACTGGCACATTTGGCCGCAACTCTTGTGTGCCGTAGTATATCCTTGAGCGCAGGCTATGCCGATCTATTGGTGCTTGCGCTACACCGGGCGCTACAGCGCTTGGGTGAGGTACGAACGTTTCTGATTCGGAAATAGATGGGAACACGGCGAGGCGAACGAGCTGCCTGTGGCGGGCGCGAGCCGTAGCAGAAAGCGAGTCGTGCCCACTGGGAGGTGACTGATCTTGCGACATGTTGAGAAGTGAGTAAAGCTACGGTGTTGCTGAGCAGGATGGGACGCGCGAAGTTTTCGACTGAAGATGTAAGCTCTCAAATATATGATGCGCGGTGTTGCTGGCAGTCCTGCTCCAGCGATGTTTTGGCAAAGCTACGACACAGCCAACTCAGACAACGCGCTTGCGTAGCCATTCCATCGACTTCGTCGTGCGTGACAATCGCCATCGATAGCGTGGCCCTTCCGGTGAATCTGGATTGATGCAACTCCCACCGGCGTTGAATCTTTGCCATGATATCGCCACGCGCTGCTGTGATGTCGCGGTTTGTGAATGTTTCCTCCAACGTAGCGCGCCTGGGACAATTGTGTGCCACTCTGCGCAATGGCGACCGAATTACGCAGTATACCTCGGTGATTTTCGAGCAAAGGTAAGGGGCGAATATGATTACTATACAGGAAGAGAGCTCATCCATCGGTCATCTCAAATGCGTGGAGAGGTGGAGACGTGTAAATTGCAGGAGGGGATGTTGTGGCGCGCGCCACACCCAGGCAAACTGAGCGGGTCAACTTCGTCCGCGCCAGCGTAGTACTTGTTTGCTACGCTGTGCGACCCTTGGTGAGCTAATCTGGACATAATCGCAAAGCTTACTTTACACATCGCGCTCATGCGTGTTTACCGGTTGCATGGTAATGAACAGCCCTGGAGCTGGCCCGCGAAAATCACGTGGTGCGCTAGGTAGCTATGCGAGACCACCTAGCCCTATCTGATGTTTCATCCTTCCACATCTCCGCTGTTTCCACCAACGACTCATCGTTCGCGACCCAACGCATCCTTGCGCCATACCACAACGTCCTGCGAACGCTTGATCTGGCACTCAGAAGCGCGCTGATGGAAACAAACCCCGGCTTGGCGCACGCGTGGCAAGACGATTGAAACAAAGCCGCTGCCAGACGGGCACTAGCATCGTGACGCCCTTGACATTGGTTCATGCCATCACGCATTTGGCAACATGGCCGTTACGGGAAGGATCGTAACTATTATAGATACGAAGCAGGTGTATGCGGTTACAGAGCGGTAGGTATATTAGGATTTGGACTGCTGCATAATGTGAACTGCTGTCATCCGCTACACTCATTCTCTCGATTACCTTTCGGATATCCTCTCATTTTCTCTCGTTGAATACCTTGAGCAGAATCTTCGGCTGGTCTGAGTGACGTTCTTTACCTTTTCGCCCATACTACATTTGCCTCTTTCAACCCCCTTTAACAAGATTACAACATGCGTTTCGAGATAATCGCACTCCTGGCAGCAGCTGCCACCTCGTCCGCTCAATCGGTCGTCGGTACAGCTTATGGCTACGGTGCTGGCGCGACTGGTGGAGGAAAGGCTGCTGCTGTCACCCCGACGTCAAACGAGGAGCTAGAGAAGTACCTGTCCGACGACACCGAGCGCGTCATCCTGCTGAACCAGCAGTTCGACTTTACTGGCAAGACTACCTCTGGTGCTGGTTGCGACAAGACCACTTGCTCAGCTAAGAGCGGCGGCGGACAGTACTACTTGGGCGACCTCTCCTGCGGTGGCTCGGATATGACGCCCGTCAGCTCCATCACCTACGACGCAGGCGGCTCATCCGCCTTGAAGGTTGGATCGAACAAGTCCATTCTTGGTGTTGGCGGAAAGGGTGTGATCAAGGGCAAAGGCCTCTCCATCGCCAAAGACGCCAGCAACGTCATCATCCAGGGCGTTGAATTCACCACCATCAACCCCGGCGTTGTATGGGGCGGCGATGCTCTCGACATGCAGGGAGGAAACACCAAGATCTGGGTAGACCACTGCAAGTTCTCCCTCGTCGGCCGCATGTTCGTCGTCAGCCACTACGACGGCTCCGAGGCTACCCTTTCGAACAACGAATTCGATGGTGTCACCACCACCTCTGCTACCTGCAACGACAACCACTACTGGACAATGATGATGATTGGAAAGACTGAGAAGTTTACTCTCGACAAGAACTACTTCCACGACGTTTCCGGTCGCGCTCCCAAGCTTGGTCAGGATGGTGTCAACAGCTACTTTCACGCCGTCAACAACTACTTCGAGAACATGAAGGGCCATGCATTTGATGCTTATGACGGCGTCAGTGCGCTTGTTGAGGGTAACGCTTTTGTCGCTGTTGACCAGCCCAACACCGAGCACGCTGCCGTTGTTACCACGTTTGTTAGCAAGGGTGGCGATGCCTGCTCATCCGTCTTCGGCCGCGCGTGTCTCGAGAACAGCGTCGACTCTTCCAGCGGCGAGCTCTCCCCAGGCTCATCCTCTGGCTTCATTGCGAAGCTCGGAAAGATCGACGTTCCCGAGCCCATGGAAGCCAGCAAGGTCGCCGCCTACGTCAAGGCCAATGCTGGTCCCGCAAACCTCGGTGCTTCGTCTTCATCTGCCCCCGCCGCGGAAAAGGTCGTGGATGCTGATGCCCCAGCCAAGGTCGCCGAGCCTACCGTTGCCACTAGCAGCGCTATCAAGCCCAAGCCCGCGGCTACCACCACCGCGGCTGCTGCGCCAGCACCTGCTGCTCCTACTGGTTCTGGATCCTCTGCCGGTGCTGCCAAACTCTACGCTCAGTGCGGTGGTCAGGGCTTCACTGGCCCTACTGAGTGCGAGGCTCCTGCTACTTGTGTGAAGAGCAATGACTGGTACTCTCAGTGCATCAACAGCTCTTCCAAGTTCCGTCGCGCGCTTGGACGCTACTTTTAAGCGTTGAACGCATCGATAATATGGAAGACGAATGGGCAATAATACTGCGGATGGGAGACGATGTCAAGGTCTGAAAGAGACGATTCTTGTGTAAATACTTCTATTACAATTCATTTGGCGTATACGCCGTATATTCTTTAATTTGACAAAGTGCCATAAATGCTGTATATTCTCGTCGCTGTGTCCTTCCAAGCTTCGCGCAGTTCGTTGGCGATGATCATCAAATGCGACACACCACAAGTCATCTCCGCCTTTCAAACGCCACGCTATGCAAGGTGTACAAAGGAAAACCCACTCGCTAACAGACCAATACGCCTCCAATCATGCTCCGCTACTCAATACGTAAGCTAATAACCTTGTCACTCTTGGCTTCGGCATCGTAGAAGCTCAGCGGTTCCTAACACCGCATCGCCGTGCATGTGACTGCTATCGTCCTGCGACAGCCCTTCTGTCTGCCATTAGGGCTTCTTGACATTTTTATCCGGCTCGGCGCTGCTTTGCGCGTCGCTAGTCGCTGCTTTTGTATCTTCCGCCACGATTCGCAAGACTGCGAATTTGCGTACCATGCTTTCTGGACTAGTCGGTAGCTGTGGCTCCACGGCCGGTTCTGCTATTGGCTGGTGTTCCTGGAGGCGCCGTGCAGCTGGCTTAAAGGACTTCTTCTTCAACTGTTTTCCGCATCCCTCCCGGCTATGGTCGTTCTTGTCGCCCAGCCGTTTCATCCAGTTCGTGTTAAAGACTGGGCGGTGTTGTTCATTCACCTCCGGATCGCGTACCCGCGCTTCAAGATTCGGATACTCCTTCAGCATAGCCAGCATATCTTCATCAATCCCTGGTACCTCCCGACCTTCGCTATCGGCCTCAAACTCGCGGAGCCGTTGACCCACCGCCTTGATCGCTGCGTAGGTGTACCGGCTATTCTTGCCGAGGCAATTCCAGAGCGTCTCCAACTCAACAGCAAAGATTGGTCGAGCGAGATGGCACTCGGCGATATAATGATCTACCCTTAATGCATCTTTGTGGAGATCGAAGAGCTCCATCGTGCGAGCCAACGAGCACGCGACAAACGTGTTCTTGGGGACGCGGATCTGCTTCATCGAGCTCATCGTCTGGTAGTTGCAAGCTCGCAGCATCCAAGCTATGAGGGCTTTCATAGCGGCCTTGCTAGCTACTCCCCGGGGTAAATCCATCTCTTGACATACTGGTGCGCCCTTCCAATTCACGTCGTCCTCGCGGTGTGTTGTGCGGATGAACTTGTTGACCACCTTACGACCCAGGAACAGCACAAGCATCTTCTTTGGCACCTGATAGGCCAGCGTGACTCCTGTATCCTGTTCTACGATGTCCAATACCGGTCCGTTGAGCGCGTTCATCTTCCGCTCAGGCTGGAGATAAGGCAGCAGACTTTGCAGGGTGTGTAGGTGGCGTATGTCTTCAGGATTCGGATACGGACGCTCCATACCTGAATACGCCGCCCAGCCTACCCACCCAAGTGTACTGAACGCCTCGACTGGAGAGGTATCATACCCTGACAGTTCATCTCCATCGCCAGGCCGGTAGCTTTGGTTGGCCATTTGGCCATCTATACTGCCGTTGAAAGGTTTTACTAGCGGGTAAAGAGTAGGACTGCAACTCTGCTGTGCTTCTGAGGTGCCATGTGCGGGGTAGCCTTTGTCACGACGTGCAAGATAGGCTCCAACGACGTCTCCGTTCTGCTCATACGCTTCCGCATCTAGGTGACCAGGCGTAAAGATCGCAGCCTTGGGATGCAGCTTGGATGCAGTGACGGTACCGTCAGAGTCATAATGATAGTACGTCGTCATTTTGAGTGATGTTGCTCCCTTCTGGTTTCGCGATGTGGGTGATGGCTGACTATCGAAACAGAGGGTAGGGGTGACGGAGTCGAAAGAACTTCTGCGGCTTGAAGCAAATTCAAATATTGAGTTTGCCACCGAACCAGTCGAACTGTCTTGACTGTGAGTGTGCTGGATGCGAGAGGTGGGTTGTGCGCCCGCTATGTAGTCTATAGCGAGAGAACACATAGCAGCGTGAAGCGACAGGGCTACTGTGAATTATTAATGATTATTGACAATGCGACGGCGCTGTTGCGAGACAATGTTGTTGATGGAGGGAGGTGGAGTGAAAGGGTGAAGGATAGTCGCTGTTGAAGGTCGCTTGCGCCAAGCCCGCGCCTATACCTGATTCGGCTACACTTACCGGATCTTAGGTGAAACACCGCGCCAAGACACTATCACGTGTGGTATTCAGAGCTTACCTTGACAGGCCGACGGACACACATTTAACGCTCAAGCATACTATAGCGCATATGCGACTCATGAACCGTGAGAAACATGACGTCATTGCAACGAAAAAATGTCTCATTTAGTCGACATGTATCTAACATCGAATGATGACCCTTCGAACGCCTGTGGCTACAACACGGGTCTGACAGAACCTCACAGCAGCGCTTTACGAGACTCTACAGGTACTCTTGCGGGAGATGCATATCCGGGAAATAGTTCCATTCATCACTAGACCCTACCATCATGAGAAGCACGACACACGCCTCCATGCGTCACGTTTCCGATTTCCTTTCTCCGGCGATGTATCATCCCTAATGAATGTCACATATTTGCCGGCCAAGTAACCTTCGCCACAATCCCCAAGCCCATATTGCTGGCCTGTCGATGAAAACAACCCGCTCTTCTGCCAGTCCGCCCGTCCGCGACGCCACGCAGCGAGCAAAGATCGGCGAGCTGGTCCTCCGAGCCACTGACCAGATGATTCGCGAGAGAAGGCCTCACCAGGTTCCCTGTTACCTCCAGCTAGAGCCGAGAGTGCGGCGGATTGATGTTCATCGGTGTCCAGTGTGACAGAATTATGCTCATCTAAGCGCAGCGCTAGTGGGGTGTTGGGAAGTGACCTCGCTCGTGGCCTAGGTGTGACAGGTGTAGAACGAACACGGTTAGCTTCTGGGCTGCGCATATTTCCTTGTAAAATGCATTCGTCCGGCCCAGTGTCGCGATCTAATTCTCTTATTGTCCATCCGGGATCAGACGACGCTAATGGTGTCTTCGATGTGGGCACGATGCGCGTATGTCGCGGTGGAACGTCGTTAGCACTAACCACACGGAGGCGCCGATGAGAAGGCGTCGCATGTCGAGCGATGGGTTCTTCATTATCTTTGTCTTCCGATCGACATTCATCGATGTGATCTTTTGCCTTAGCAGCATCATGCTCGGCGAGAACCTGCTGCATATACGTCCTAGGCTCGTTCAGGGTGTTGTCACGCAAGTTGGGCTGTTCCGGTCTTGCGTGAGCTGCGATTCGCCGACGGCGCTCTTCAGCTTCTTCCCATGTCTCAAAGCGGTACGCAGCGGTACGACTGCTCGATTCATCTTGGCTGGAACTCCGTTCGTTGTCTGAGGGCAGAGTGGTGATGTGTTTTGGAAGTGACACAGTTGATGATTCTTCGCAGGTTTTCGCACTTTCCCGGCGAGTACACTGAATGTTGGTTTTCAGATCCGACTCGTTGAGGGTCCGCACGCCCACCGGATTAGCGTCCGACTTGTGCTCATCGTCACTATACACAGACGACGAATCTGAACCGACGGAAAAGACCGCGCTCTGCCTAGATGGATTCATCGCTGTCAATGCGAGAGATCGCGATCTCGAACAACAAGCCAGTTGCAGATGAAGCAGCGCCAAGTGGCCGCTGGCGTAGTATTGCTTCCGTTTGCTTTGAGGTGGATCGGAAACGTGTCAGCAAACGATGTTGATTGTCGCACCGTTGTTTGTCGAGTTCTGAAAAGGATAATGAGACGTTCAAGCGTGGCGAATGTGTATCGCGTGGTCTGAGAGTATCACCCAGGCTACCTCCGTGCGCTGATCTTTGTCAATGAAACAAGAGTATTTCTACTCCGACTTACGCGGCATCGCAGTGAATATTCGCCCAATCTTTGTCCAGCCCACGATATACCTAAGCAAGTGCAGGCCACCTAGCAAACCTTCACCTCGACGCGCATGACTGAAGCAACCAACAACTCCGCATGATACATCTTGGTTACTTGCTCTGCCCGTCTTCGCATCCGGCATACACGATCCGAATCGCTACCATTTCGGGCAACTCCGGCAGCCGGTGAGCATGTCGTCGAAGCACCCGAATACCAATCCAGCCACTTCATCAACAGCTCAGAGAGGGCAGAAGGCCAACGATACCAGCGTCAGGGATCTGAGCGAGCGGCTTACAGACGTCAAGATCGGCATCAGCAAGAATGCTGCCATGGAGGATCTGACAAAGGATCTAGCTTCCAAATGGGAACCGTACGGTGCTCATTCTTCGCAGCCGAAAGATGATGGTCGTGCACAAGGCACTCCGTGACCAGGAGATGCGGCGGCGAAGTCTAATTACCTAGCAAAGAGGATGGAAACAGCTGCCGCGTTTTGATGGAGTGTCGTGTCGACTTTGACTGAATACGGTCTTGCATGCTTGTATGGATGACGCGACGCATGACCTGGTACAAGTGGTCGAACGCGTACGAAAGCGCGTTCTGGGGCGTGGAGACGATGCCGTCGCGAAAGCCAGGGAGGTCCGAATGGTGCACTGAAAACATATGTAGTAGACTCAACGACGCAATACTCGATAATGTGACAACGGTTTTGATGCTGGCACCGAAGTCGTACTATGGTAGGTGGTCATGTCGCAGCTGGCAGAAAAGAGGGAGCGACGCTAGCAGCGCGCTAAGTCTTATGATTACGTCACGCGTGCCTCAACTCGCCGGCTTGAGATACGCGACCCAGAGCCTTCACTCTACCTCCACTACTAAGATTCTCTATCAAATTTTCATGCCATGCATCACGTCCAGAGCTATCGAGGACTTACTTACGCGTCATGACGGCAAGCAAGGCACACAACGCGAGCCTGTCCAGACCGCGTTAGAAACGCCGGTCAGTATCTAGCATAGCGCATTTTGCTGTCTCAGTCGCGTTATGCCGATGGACATGCAAGCTCGAAGAAGAAGGATGCTATTCAAGAGTCCGTCACGCTCTGGTTTAAGACAACGGCGCGCTCCGAAAGTGCATTACCCAGCTTTACTAATGTGTGTGCAACAAAGCCCACAGTTGCATACGAAGGACGATGAAATTTGACGGCATTCCTGCTGGATGATTCATTGCGCGAGACTCCCCATACGATCTTCTCAAAATCTCTCTCCGTCAAGGGCCCGACTATGTTACATGGATACAACTCACTCCACCCCACTTCGGGGCAAGGCGCTCATCGTCTCCGGGTGCTTACTTGCCAAACCAGCCCTGCAATAGTCCCTTCGATCTACTGACGTCGCCTCCGACCTTTTCCTTCTCTTCTGGTTCCGGTGTCGAATGGCGAGATACACGTTCCCAGTCATTTTCGTCGTCAGGATGTCGTGGGAAGTGGACGAAGCCGGTAGAACTCACCTCGACGGGCGCCATCCCATCGATAATGTGGTAAAATCCTTCACTTTTCTCGTGTAACAAGTTTCCGGATGATGGAGCGTTTCGATGAGACCTCCGCGATTTTGGATTCTGGCTATGGGGAGGCTTGTTCGAAGTTTTAGCTGGCCGTCGGGCCTGTTCATCAAGCATATCCCGTTGCAACTTTATCTCGAAGTCGTGCACCCGTTTCTCGATACGTTCGCGCGCGATCTCCCTGGCCAGCTCGGAGTCTGGGGGCAGGAAAGCTTCTTTGGCAAGCTAGAGCTCGTTAGCAACGAGGCTTCTTCACCTTTGGTATGAAGCCTACAATGTCTCGCCGAAAAGCCGCCACTCTAGATTTGAATTCTGCAGATTTGCAAACGTCGCTTAACGCCTTGTTCTCCTTCGCAAGAGCTTTGGTAGCATGTCTGGACATAGCTGCGTCAACCATCTGGACGGCATCTGCAACCATACGCTCGGCTTGTCCAATGTCTTCTTTGGTTATCGATGGCCGAGACGGATCCCTGGGCTGACGGCTCGTATGTCTACGTTCTTCGTTCATCTTGGATGTCGACGCGATCGCTATACTGGAAGCGGTGGGCGAGTTGAAGTAAAAGTAGGTTTCCTGGTTGATGTAGACAATCACGGTCTTGCTGGTGTGCTGGTGTAGATCTTTATATTCAATACCTCACATGGAAGCTCACAGTGAAGAAGAGACGAGGCCATTCGCGACTCGGAAGCAGACACACAACCATTGAGTTCACGAAGTCTGCATCACCCTCCGGGCCGGCAACGCAAGCATTCGCATTCACTTTATTATCCGCAACACGGTTCACTCCAAGAAGGAACAACAGGGAACTAGATTACGAGGGAAGCGAACTGTCCTGAATCTACTCTCTACTGCACACGACAAGGTTCTACTAGATCACCTCGGCCTACTTGCGACCGAATGCATGTCGGAGCCAACGGCGAACCTTTCCCCACTTCTTGGTCTTTCCATCATGTTTGCTCACTTCTCGGGCCCAAATCGGCTTTACGTTGGTGTTGTTGACGACATTCTCTTCTCTCGGGCTTGGCATGGACTCCGCTCGAGTTATCGTGCGCCGGGTGTTCATGTGCTGCGAGGGTGCTGGTAGATGAAGTCGAGCAGTTTGAGAAGTCGTGTTACTCACTTGCAATGGCGATGGGCTGTACAGCATCAGAGGTTGGGGAGTTGGCGGTCGTGAAGCCGCTGCTTTGGAGACAAGCTGAACGTTGGTGGCCTCTTTGGCGTCGCGATTTACTGTCATCGAGACCGCCTGCGGTACGACTTGGGCATTCTCTGCGTCAGCACGTTCGATGTTTTCCCATACCGGTACAGACTCCAGGTTGTCGCTGAACCTCCACCAGTCATTCTTGCGGCGCGGTGTTGTCGAATCGTCACTGAAACGCCAGCCAAGGGCTTGCGGAACGCCGCTGCTTCGATGCCGCAGCGTTCGAGGCCGGCCAGGTCTATCGCGTGACTGTTCGCCATCTATAACGACGATTCTATCTTCAATTCGCTTCGCATCGTCGCCAGATTCCGAATCTTCATCGCCAGACGAATCTCCAAGAAGGGTGTACAATTGTCTGTCATCAAGTGCTGGGAGGCTCGATCGCATCATCGTCAGCCATTCAATCCGCAGTTCGTCATACGCACAGCACAGTCTTCGAAGCTTCGTGCTGGAGTCACCAAACGAATAGCGCTGATGCTCGCGGCCGAACACAATACCCTCATTCCGGAGAACTCTCTTGAGAGTACGTAGGTCAGACCATAATTGTCTGTCTGCACCTCCGTGGTCGGGAGGCTCATAGTTGTCGACAAAGAAACTGTTCCATTGCTCTTCGTACATGGGACCGAGACGTAGCATGGTCTGGAACTCCGTGGACGCATATGGGTTGCCGTAAGTGAGAAGCTCTCCATTGTCGGAGAAAGTAGCACCCATCTGTTGTAACCGACCACGCAGATGTAGAATCTCCGCGAGTTCATCCAGTATCGTTTTACGCTGGGTTGTAGGGCACGTCTCGTTTGCTAGCTCGCAGATCTCTTGGGCGCCGTATACACTCAAAAGATGCCCCATTCCCGTCTCGGTGGTCTTTGCTGGACTACCCGTGAGCAGAGCCAAGGCATCTTCGTGGGCTTGCATTTTGGGTTGTAAGGTTGCAAATTGTGGTCGTTGGCTCCTGAAGGGTTGCATTGGAAAGATTGCTACAGTTGCGGTGCGAGGTGGTTTGGTGTGCAAGAATCGTTTGCAACAAAGGAGATTTGATTGGGGCCAAATGAGAGCCTAATCGCGCAACCCTTCAGCATGAGGTTGATTCACCAGACGACACCGCCGCGGAATGACCGCCGAGATGGTGTGCTTGCGGATTGATTTCACTCCCCACTTGTATATACACCTGCGCAAGGCGCACAGACATCTGAGCACGTGTGGCTCCCACGCTTATACGATATAACAGCAGCTACTCGTCCTTTTGGTGCGGCTCACCCCTTCGCTGGCGGCGCCTATCTACCAGGACTACAGCGCCTTACGCATCTCAACAGATCTATTCCACCGACCTCGACTTCGCATATCGTGGGCCGGGTCTTGCTATTTAACATTATCGCGATTTAGAAATTGTCGGTCCATCTGACGACACCGCGTCACCGCCGAGAATGAAGGATGAGCCGGCTACCAGCTCACCTCCAAGCACTCCCACCAACACTAAGCTTATGACTATGTCTCCGCCCGACACACCGTTTGCCAGCACCAAGAACCAAATGCGTGGGAAAGCTGGCCCCGTATCACACTCACCGATTCTGCGACATCGTGCCCGATCACTATCGAGCGGTCTTCCCCCACGTGGTCTCGTCGCATCACGGGTCAATACCATCAACATGGTTAGCCCACTGACTGATGTAGTCGTTCCCGCACACAGTGACCGCGACACACTGCCATCTCAGGCAAAGCCCTCTTCACCGACGTCAACGCCTCAAAATCGCCCCGGTGCACGCTCGGCTCATAGCTCCCCGCTGAAGCGCAAATGCAAGATCGACGACTTCGCTCTTCCGCCGCCCCCGCCGACCGTGTCCGCAAACGAAGCTGCTCAGGACGACATTCTAGCTGCATCGAACCTCGTCACATCTAGTGACAAAGGCATTGTCCAGAGCGAGATCTCGAACAACGAACCCTTCAAAACCTCGGATGACTCCACAGCGGGTACTACACCATTTCACCGTGGCCATCGACGAAACAAGACAAGCTTATCACAGGTGGTCCCACGCAGTGACCCACTAAAGGGTACTGCATACGGTACGGAATCGTTTCGTGCGACAGCAGGACAGTATAGCCATTGGCCAGCAGATCCACACTATACTCCCTCTCCAGACGACTACTCAGGTATGGACGTCTTCAGCTGCGACACGTCTCCTGACGTGCGTGCTACCAAGCGAAAGTCACTACCAGGCTATAGCAGTACGACCTCCACCATGGAGTCAGGCAGGTCGGAAGAGTTCCACGGTTTCACGCTATCACCGAGGACGACAGTGGACGAAACCAAAGAAGATGAGCGCTCACCGTCCGTTCAATCCTACACCCCTAGCTACGCCGAATCTTCTCCGAGAGCTGGAGCGACATCCCCAGCGGCTGCGCTATATTTGCCGCTTCGTAGGGCCGAGAAGTTCAATGACACCGAGAGCTTCAACACCCACACAAGCCCCTTCTCACAATATGAGTATGCGCTCTTGCTCTCGAACATGGATACCGACGATGTTCGCGAACTGTACCCATTGGAAACTTTTGTTCAAGCAATCGCTCAAGATGGCTGCGCCATCCATGACTGGGCGTCCCCATGGCCATCGGAGCAGCCTGTGAAGAAACTCCTTCGCTTTGCTTCCCGGCCAGACTTTGCACCCTCCATGCACTATGAGTCAGAATCGGATGACTATCCTTCTCTGCAGAATCTCCTCGATCTGGACGAGCATGGTCCTGAGCCCCGAAGGAGTCCGCTTAGTGCTGTGAAAGTCCCCGATCAGGCACAAGATGGTGAGCTTGCGACCCTCGCACCAGTTTCCTACTACCCGGACGTTGGATCTGAGATGACTATCCTTCTTCCGCGGACGTACAATGCGACTTCCGACGACGATGAAGAGACTCTTCCTTCACGCACATACAATGCGAATGCTAATCATGAGCTTACGTGCCTCCTCCCGTTGACGTACAATCCGAATTCTATGAGCGCACTGGAGAACGCGTCGCCGATCAAGCGGAAGCCGATACTGCGAAAGGCCAAAGACAAGTCGCTTCGATCTTCTGTACCGTCTCCCAGCTCTTCAAACTGGGTGGTGCATGATGGATACGACAGCGAGGAGGATCTCTGGACGAAACCCAGCAGCGGCGCTCCGCTGAATGTGGAAGCCTCGGACCTTCACCAATGCGATGATTTGGATGACCGCGACGCTGACGTGGAGCCAATCCACATTGAGAAGAGGCATTATCGCAATGGCTTGAAGACCACACATGAGCAAACCGCGAACTCTGTCGGTAAGTTCATTGAGCCGCGCTCAGATGCAGATGTTATCAAGGAACCCGTACCTATCGGCTCGATCAATCGTCGCCCACTCCCAACTATCAGTCATGTTCTGAACCCTCCACTCCCAGCCAACACCGGTGTTCTGAACCTCGACTTCCAGTTTCCATCCCGAAATCCGCAGCAGCAGCGCGGTGTCAGCATGCCGCTCTTTCCCCCGCCTTCTGCTGTGCGTGCTCAAGAAAAGAAGAATGCGCGGCGCAAATCGTTCCGTCAATTGCTAGGTGCTACTGGCAACAAGGAAGGTGGTACCGAGACGACAACGAGCGGAGATAAGCCGAAGAAGTCGCTGGGTCGACGCATCAGTCAGATGGGCAGGAGACTTTCGTCGATATGGTCCAAGTAGGAGGAGCTGTTCGTCTAGTACAGCAGAGGATTGCGCTGTCAATAAGCACGCCACGACGCGCTGGTAGTGAAATCGCTGCGGATGTTCTTCGGATGGATAAGATGCGAACGATCATTAGAAGCACACGTAGCAAAATTTGTTCTCTATGGGAAGTAGTCAAATGGGGCAGAGATGGATAAAAGCAGAGATTAATCATGATGTAGCATCTAAAACAGATTTAAGGAAAGACTGCGAAGGAACAAAAAGGTATCATGACAAAAACACGTCAGTAGAAATCCAAAGCTCGTAACTCAGGTCCATTACACCAGTTCTCCGTCTCGATAAGCCAGAGTGTCCTCATACCCTACTGACAAACAATAACCCCATTATCAAGGTTCGTGTTCCCAAACTCCGCATCAGCACCACCAGGCCTATTGTCACGTTAGCATTCTTGCCAATACTCCGAACCCCAACCCACTCTAACAACGAAGAGAGAATGAGGGCGTGAGTGTGTATGTACGCGAAAAATAGAAAAACACTTACACAATAGTAGCAACCTTCCTCGTACCCTGCGCATCACTAAAGATCCCACAGCTCCCACTCCCACTCCCCACAATCAGTGCGCGGTTCGCGCGAATGGGTGACCCCAGATTACCGAAATTGGCGCGGATGGAGATGCGCATGCCGTTTGCGGGGATATTGGCCTGGACGGCGGTGTCGGTGGCGTCGTTGGAGAGTTGGACGCGCAGGGTGCGGGTTTGGCGGGGGGAGAGGGTGGTGGATGTGGGGGCGGCGAGGGCGGAGACCGCGAGGAGAGGGGTGAGGAGGAGTGTGAGTTGCATTTTGGGGTGATGTTGGGTTGGTTGGAGGGGTTGGTGGGTGTGGTGCGAGGGGTTTAGAAAGGTGTGATGTGAAAGGTGTGATGTGGAAGGTGTAGAAGAGCGTGTTGAGGATACTGTAGGTGGGACGATGAGATAACAAGTTATCATGTCGACTTTATATCTTCTTTACATAGCGCTACCGTACATGCGTACACGGTGAGCTGTGGTTCCGTTCTTTTCTTAGACTACTCTGTCCGGCTGTCTCTGCTCAGCCTACTTGGGTGCTGTCACTTCCGCTGCCATTCTTACTCATCGTTCCAAGCTGTCCAAGAACCAACGACATCACCCCCATTAATTCGCGCAACGCGCAACCCTACGTTTTCGCAAGAAACATCTGCTGTTGAGACTTGGTTAATAACTCAGTACTACCGAGCTGACAATAGTTGTGATGACAAGCATGTCACCTTGGGCGATTCTGGAATTCGGATATTAATTTAGTCACTTGTCTGCACTATTCCGGGACGGAACGCGTTAGCTGTTGTGCTGATGTCAGACCGCAAGTGGCAGATGTGGGGTACATGAGTTGGGACATGTGACACTTCGAAACGCACGAAGCTGACCTTCGGAATGCGAAGATTTCCCGTCGTGGTGCTGAGTCGATATATCTCTTGAGCGAGTAGTACATGGACAGCCTTGGCATGTGGCGCCATTGTGTAAGGGCGCGTTGCCAGGGCCTGCATAGCGATGCAGCGGCGGGGTATATGCAGCCGTTGTGCGTGGCATGACCAAAATCGACCGACAAAGGATGGGTACAACGTTTGCAGCGTTAGGCCGCGTAACAGGCTCAGTGGCTGTATTTCAGGAACAGGTGCGAAATAGACTACTTCCTTTGTCAGCGTTAGCGAAGAACGTCTATTATTGCACTGGTATATTGCTCTCGACAGCCAGCCTTGAAACAGCTCTTGTTCCTCCATACACGAAGACAAGATCGAACGGGATGAAGCATGATGTGAAATTATTGTTTCGTATTGATACATCGTAGGCAGATACTGGTTTGTCCACGTATACGGCCGTCGCAGTCTTAGCCAAGGTTGTCGCTATAGTCATGCTCGCGTCATGATGTTATCCATCTACCTCCTTGGGAGAACATCCTTCGCGCCATCCTTCACCCGTTGTGCGGCGTCGGCGACGGCGTCCCTGGTGAGGTGAAAGTGCTGACCGAGGCGGTCCTACTATGAGTTAGCATCGTGTCCAAGGCAGCGGATATAGCGAGTAGCTTACCTGCTCAGCTCCCATGCCGCTACCGGCCATCAGCTTCGCCCTCTGCTGACCATCGTATCCAAGGCCAAAGTACTTGGCGTTCTTCTCTCCGTTGGCAGCCACGCTTCCCGCAGCCTGTATCGCCTTGGCAGCATCGATGCTGTGCAGCGCAGGGCTGAAGTGTGCGTTGTATCGGTCTTGCTCGGCGCCATCGCCCTTGTACTTGGCCGCTGACTTCATGGCGTTGTAGCCACGGTCACCGATGCTCATGTGGTCGCCGTAGCGGTCCTGCTCGGCACCGTCGCCCTTGGCCAAGGCAGCTTGTTGCAGCTTGTTGAGGCCCTTGTCGACGCCGCGGCGGATGGCATCTGTGGAAGCGCCGAAGTGTTCGCCAAAGCGATCTTGCTCAGCGGCGGAGCCGTGCTTTGTGGTGACATCGACGTTGACGGGGTGAGTCGCGAGGGACGACTTCTCATCGGAGCTGAACCAACCCATTGTGATTGATTTGATGTTGTTTGTGGTGCGTGAAGAGGGGGTATAGTCGAGTTGAGAGCGTGGGGAATTGAGTTTGCAATGGCTGTGTGATGGTGTCAAGGGGACGAAAAGATGTCGTGTTATGTTGCTGGGTTGCGGAGAATGATGACGTAGGGGCTAGCGAGTGCGCTAGAATCCTTGTCTTGTGCCTGATCGTCATGTGAAGACGTCGCCTCGGCCCACTAATCATCATTGCAATGTCAAGTTTGCCGTTCCTTCATGCTCTTGTTTTGCTTTTGCCATGTCCGGCTCTCCGCGTTGTGCATTTCATCCTAGAGGTCATTGTGCTATGCGGCTTCCAGTGCACCGACTTTGACGCATTGCACAGGAACAACAATTCAGCCAGTCCTTCAACCTTTGACGAGTATATACCTATGCGAAGCGGTTCAGGCTGCATGAAAGCAACGCTTCTGCAGATGTTCAACTCGCGGACGAGAAAGACGCGGGCTTCGAGGGGTGGCTGCCCCACTCGGAGCTATGCAAAGTCTGATTGGCCAGTGTGTAGCGCGCACCACAGACGTTCTGCCGTCATCCTTCCCCTTCATCATACTTCCATCTACATTGCTCGCAACGTTTCTATGCAGTTCGCGCGCGCAGTTGGTGCTTTGAGTCTATTTCACTTCCTTTCTAGTCATCTCTGGTTGCTGTCTGACCCCACAGTTTCACCACCTTTACCCGTGACCATTCTGTACGCGCAATCCTGTCAAACATTACTCGCTTTCTTCCGCGTGCTTTGCAATTCTCATTTTCATCGCGTTAGCAAATTTACATTCAAGAAAGAGCTGGGAGACATGATTCATGTCTTCGCTAATCTTCCGCATCCCCTTCGCATCTTGCTTTACAAAAGCGCGCCCGCACCTAGCCTTGCGCATTCCAACTTCTCACTTATCAAAAAAACTTAGCAAAAAAAAAACTTTCCATTCCTCCTCACACCGGCCTCGAACCGTCACCCTCAACCAGCAAAAAGATACCATGGAACCTTGTATTCTATCCAGGTACGAAACTTGCTTCTTTGATGGCAGTTTATCACGACTAGCTTGATGTTTTTTCTGATTGGCTTCTTGTTCGATTCTTGTTTGTGGCCTTGAGCTTCCTCTGGCTTCGGCTATAACCGGCTGGAGTGCTGGATGTTTTTTCTGTGTGCTAGCCGCCACCCTTTTGTTGGCAGGTAAAAGTGGTTTCGATGGTGGATTCGGGAGTTGGATGGGTTATAACTGCGGGGTATGCGGCTGCGGAGGTGAGAGTGGAGATTTTGGGAGCAGGTGAGAGAAGCGCGTTGATGCGGTCGCGTGGCGGCTGTTGTAGGGTGAGAGAGCGGAGATGAGAGGACGCGCAGGTGAAGGTGCGAAAGCGAAGACGATGCAAGGCCACGCGAGCGCTGCAATGCCACTATCCGCTTTCGTTCGCCATGCCCGCAAGATGTGGAACTTATGACGATCGCAAGCTGCGGTTGCATCAAGAGAACGCAGCGCCAGCAGGCGACAAACGCGTCGCCAGCACACCGGGCCAGTATTTATAAGCTATCTCGCGCGGAGAGACCGGTTCTATGTCGGAGGAGCAGCGAAAGAATGGATTTACAACGTGCCAGCGTCCCGACGCGCAACCAATATGACCGTGTACGCCAAATACAGGTCGTGGGCAACTTCCACAAGGCAATTTGGCTGCTCAGGCATAAAACAACTGGCCAGCTTGCTGTGCGCAAAGAGTTCGATCCTAAAGATGTTGCATCGGGCTTTGCTGCCCGCGAGATAAGACATCTCATACGTCTATCCAACTGCTACAACATCTGCACCTACCGCGAGCATGAGCTGGACTTAGCAACGGGAACTGGCGCGCTTGTCATGGATGTGTACGCGTACGGCGATCTATGGGGTTTGCTCGAGAAGCATGTCAGCCAGCGCAAGCCTTTCTCCGAGAGCTTCATCTGGCACGTCTTCAGGTCGCTAGCCCGGGCTCTGCGACACATGCAGCGTGGCGATCCTCCGGTTCTGAGCGACACATATGATTGGATTATGCACCGAGACATCTATCCGCGCAACATCTTTCTCGGCCTACCTGCCTCTCACGAACCCTCATGGCCGAAAGTGGTTCTCGGTGACTTTGGCTCGAGCATATCGCGTACCGACAACTGGCAAACCATTGAGCTGCGACAGCAACGGGACTTTAGCCCACCGCCATTCGAACCGCCGAGCAACAAAAGAAGTGACGTATACCAGGTAGGATTGGTCATAGTTGCGCTTTGTAGATTGACCACGATGCCGAGCCTTTACTTGCAGTCGTTTCAAAGTAGCCCAGCTGGGGCAACTTACACACCTATGCTCAACGATATCTTGAAAAGATGTCTAGAGATGTTACCGGTCAATCGCGTATCTGCTGTTGAGCTACATCAGGTGCTGAATACTCGCCTCATTGGGGGTGGTAGTTTACATGAGTTGTTGCTTGGACCGCCAATGTACCAGACTTAGGTGATAGAGCCTGCTACACATAGATTGAACTGGGATGCTGGATTCGTATTGACATGCCGACCCAAACATTGCGTCACTCATCATCTCCTCAAGATACACAAGGTGTCCGCTCCGACATCACAACCTTAGAAGAAAGGTCCGCGGTTGGGGCATGAGACTAGTGCGCATATGGTCTAGCGCGGTCCCTGTCTGCCGTCAACCTTCCGAAAGGCGCGTCTTCTCTTCCATCGCGTCTCCACCGGCGCGTCATTACACTTCACCCGTCCTGCCATCGCCTTCCTCGCTGCTCCTGCCTCCGACAATCGGCAAGGCGCCCTTGGCATGGCCTGCCCACACACCCTTGCCAGCTTCTGCGGACCTTGTAGCCATGTTTCCAATGCTCTCGCCATGCGATGTACCGGGATCTCACACGTGCTGAGATGAGGGTAGTATCGTTGTTTGCGTGGGTCGATGTTCGTTGTCTTCGTTATGATCATGACCGCGATCAGCTGCTTAGCAGTTCGACACATGACGAGAAGAGGGAAGTATATCTAGCGAGGGAATGGCAGCCGTTTCTGGCTTCTCACATCATCTCAGGAAAGCTTTAACAATTCTCTGCTCATGGCTTCGACATTCTGCTCTTATTGTCACGGACCAGCAACACAGAGATGCGGCTGCAAACAACACTACTACTGCAACAAGGATCACCAAAAGGCTGATTGGACAAACCACGAGCATACCTGCCACGACATCCGGCTTGAAGCCTTTCTGCCGCAAGTCGCCAACGTCATCCAGTCAGCCTCTCTTACACTCCTGGAAGCTACAAACATGATGCTGATTACGAAGATTAAACTGGACAATCAGAAGATCGTCGCCTACAAGGGTGTTAACTTTAGCAACAACCCGTTCCCGAAGCTCACTGACAATGTGTTCCCTGATACAGCCACCAAACACGCGGTGCTGTGCTGCAATGCGCGATACTTACCCCTAGCAAATATGCATCTGTTGCTCAAAAAGCTCATCAAGAGTAAGTAGCCCGGCATATATCTGCGCGCGATTTAATGATAAGCTGACACTTGACCAGCCAAACATGTTGACATCCACGAAGTCATGGTAAAGATCAAGACAGCATCACGGACCGTTCTTGTCCTCGCAAATGACGGTACAGATAGCGAGAATTGGCCTGAGCACAATATTTCACTGTTACGAATTACCGCCAATGGGAGCCGAAAGCAATGGTACATCAACCTATCCGGTGCTGAGCTCGGGCTCACGCAAGCATTCTTTACCGCCGCCGACTTCGAATCCAAGCACATGCAGTCGCTTTGTGCAGTCTTCGAGTTCGGGAAATGTAGAGAATACATCTGGACTTGCTCAACTATGCCAGGCTGGTTTGCGCACACAGAGCGCATCGGCCTTCAGGCCTCATCACGAATGGAAACAGCACTACTGACCTTCTTGCAGCAGCCTGGGAATGACTTGAGCAATCTTCGTAAGAGGAGCATCGCAGGCTCGACGAGCTGGACACAACCGTTGGTTGAGGCTTTGTCTCAGGCTCTTCATGGGTACATCTCCAACTACAATGTCGGTGGACTCATGTCTCAGATTATCCATGAGCCCGTGAGTCTGACGCAAGAAATGACGAGGAGGCATTTTGATCACGCTAGCATTCTTGGCGATGCTATGACGGACGAGGAGAAAGCGAACCGCCCTAACGTAGCTTTGGATCTGGCGAGGTTCGAGCAACAACACAAGGGCCCTGGCGTGGATATGGTGATAGGGAGTTTAAGTCTCTTTAGTTAGAGATGCTCACGGTGCATGGCCACGAGTGGCGAACAATTGATGCGAGTTGTAATTCACCTCTCAATCAGGATTATACGATAGCTGTCGTCCTTCACATATCCAATCTTGAATCGCTTCGCTTGGGGGTTGGTAGCCACGATATGGTCCCCTTCGCGTCAATCTAGAAAAATGCTGAACACCCTAGAGCCTACATCGACGTCGCGTCACCTACTTTGCATATTTTAATCTCGGTGTAGTCTGCAGACCCATCCAATCTATTCATCTAGGCTGCAAGCCAAAAGCGTCATAGCTCAACTCGTGAAATCGGAACAAATATTGCCCGGCTTCACTGATTACTTTGCTGCGCCCACAACTCCTTTGCGCTATTTACGACAACAAAGAAAACTATGGCTCCAGAAGTACAAGCAGCGTGCGCCGTCTGTGGCGAGCCGGCTCACAGCAAATGCGGCGCCTGCAGTTCAGAGATCTCATCGCGCCATTACTGTGGCAAGGCCTGCCAGGTAAGATCTCCCATGTGCGAACTGCGTGTGAGATATGGACTGACTTCGGATATCGTCGATTTAGGTGAAGGATTGGCCGACTCACAAGAAAGCATGCAAAGACGTCCAGAACGCGAACCTCGAGAAGAAGCTTGCGCGTGTAGCCGAGATCGTTCAGCAGGCCTACTACGACTTCCGCGAGAACACCTGGGTTCAACCTGTGATCAAGATCCACGATCGCAACGACGCTCTAGTCATTTACGACGAGTCCAAGAGCGAGAAGAAGAAGTTCTTCGTCGACTTCCCGCATCATCTTGTCACAAATGTTCGTTCTAAGAAGGCACTGCTTTGCGCATGGTCATGCAATGAACCGACGGCTTTGTTACATGATACTCTTGTTGGTCTGCTCCAAGGTAAGATACGTCCTAAATCTAACTTCTTTTCTCACGCTGACTAAATTATCACAGGACTGAACATCAAGGTCGAAGAGCTTCTCGTCACGCTAGGCACTGTTCCACGAAAGATCATCTTCTACGATAGACTTGGCAAAATTGACAACCTGACCTGGCCCTATTGCGACCACAAGATCATCCGCGTTACCGCGACAAAGACTAAGAAGCAGTGGATCATGGACATCACCGGCGCTCAATTTGGGATCTATCAAACCTTCTGGAGTTGGGAAGAATATACAAACAAGTATTCTACGAAGACGCACGACGTGGAACCTATCGGCGAGAACAAAGCCATGTTCGAGAGGCTTGCCAAGAACCCCGGTAATCCAGGCCTGGAACACAGACTGATGAGAATGGTAGCAGACCATCTTGACGAAGTCGTGCGCGGGTGGAAAGCTGAAAGCGGCTTGTCACTGGCGGCTCTCCTTGACCTCAACAAAGAGACCTATGAGCAGGCTAGTTCAAAGCTACTGGAAACTATGAACGTCGCGATCCGCGCCCACGTCAAGACTCATGACTACAGAGTGGAGTTCCAGGCTGCCCAAGCTTACGAACGCGAGCATCACGGTGAAGGCTACAGGGTCGACCTCTAAGTCGTGATCCCCTTGGGTTGCTGGTATGATCGCAGGACACATCAGCGACATTGAGTTGGCATTACGGTCCTGCAGCATAGGCAGGATGGAAAAGGCGAGCGTATATAGCTGTGGAAACGTGTTAATTGGCCACTTGCTTGCCTCAATCAAAACAATCTTCACAATGAACACTTCTTCCGCCATCCAATTTATCATGACGCATGAAGTACTGGAAGTATTGGGATGGATACATAGGCGCATTGACATCATGAAAAGATGTTTTGAGTTTGATGTAGGCCTCTACCAGAATCGGAAATCTCGTAAAACAAGAGTGAATGCAATATATCCTGGACCGGGGAAGCTCGACCCAACATTGCTTTGCGGCTCGCCACCACCTTAGGGGTATGACTCCTCATTCCATTAACGTGCTACAGGAAAACACTAAAATTGCAAAAGCTGGGTGAGCTATTATCGAGCAACCTCCTAGACGCATTGATTGAGATCGTCTCGAAGCTCCGATATAAACCCATAACCGAGCCTGGTGCGGGATGGGCGGCGACGACATCAAGTGCGAAAACCTTTTCTAGGCGGGCTTTGAGTTTACGTTGGCGCCGCGCCTTAGTAGCTAGATGCTTGATCCGGTAAGCTTTGTCGTCCACAATAATGGAGAGCAGAAATGTGTTCATGTTCTCTCCATCAATGCTAGGGCTACGTGCACCTATCGCGGCGCTGATCTCCTCCGTATCAAGATAGACATCGTTGACTGTAGTCACGGCATACATGCACGATGTTACAACGTGTCGCCAGTTCGCCGCGATGAACTCAAACGGGAAGAGACAACGTTCTAGTACCAGACGCCATAGCTTCAACTGTAGCCGAGCAAGATCTTTTGTGTGCTTTTTATAGGCAGGATTTGTTTTCTCGAATGTTCGTATAAAGTCAGTAATGGCAAACCTTGCGCTGATATTGATCAGCAGTTTTGACACTGCTGGAAGTAGCTGCTGAATACCTTTCATCGCTGCGCCGAAGCACATCGATAGCTGGTTCAATATATCAGGCTGTTCGATACCCGCTTGTACGGCGCTCAGGTACAATACCACGGCAGCAAGCTGTTCATACGTCGCGTTTACCCACAGATGCTGATGATCAACGCATGTAGTCAATCCGTCCGCGATGCCGTTAATGGTGGTCTGAGAGAAGCCCATATCTTTCGCAGTATCAACAACATCCTCGATAAGACCTTCAAATCGTCCGTTATCGTTGACCCGGTACGCAGCAATATCTTCGGGAGTGCTGGGCACGAAGGAGTGCTTTGAGGACGTTACCACTGCGATGTCGCACTCACGAGCGCGCATCATCACCGGTATGTGAGATTGATGGAAATGCGGAAAGTTCGGCAAGATGAGCTCACTCACCTTTGAACTACGATATTTGATATGGCCAGATTGGATCATCTTTTCACGCTCGCACAGAGTACACGCGAAAGCTGTGAAGTTTGTGACGGGTGTCTTACAGTTCCGTCCGCACAAGGATACCTGCTCGGTGTGAACGATATGGCCACATGCTAGGCGATGCAAATGCGATGCGCCGCTATAGCAAGGCTCAGTGCGATCCTGGATGCTCATCCGGTGCGTTGTCAAGTGAGGACGGCGATGGTCGTTCTCTAGCGCTTTCTCGTGTTCTGCGACCGCGCAATGCAGGTCTGTGCGAGACTTCGTATCTTCCATCATGAAGACTGTGAAAGATGCCAAAGGCAAGTCTCGTGATCGAGGGAGGTGAGGAATGTGAATTCGGTATGGAATTATTTATAACCGCGCTTTCTCTCGGTTTATGAACAGCGTCAATACAGCATAGTGATGATTGGCGTTAGGCCTCGTTGTGAACGCTGGTTATCTCGCGTGCTGATGGCCCTTTACCAAACCGTAGCAGTAGCACCGACCTCCAGCATAGATGCAATAAGAGATCGTCAAGGCAATTGGACCGATAGCTCATGTGATGTTCGTTTTGATGTGAATGTTCTTGATACATTGTATACATTACTCAATATCTACAAAGGCGTACAGTCTTTCTCATTTTCGTCTAGTAGTGACCCTTCTTGGCCCTGATACCCTTGAGGAAGCCAGCGTAGGCAGGCTTCTTCATGTAGTTGTCGTCCCAGAGAAGGGCAGCGCCCTCGTTCTCGAAAACACCGGGGATCCAAGAGTACTTGTCGGAGATACCCCAGACAGTCATACCAATGCATCGCTTGACGTTCATGCAAGACTTAGCAACACGCTCGAAAGCATCGGCCTGGACCTGGAGCTTCTCGGGAGTGGCGGGTGTGAGCATGCGGAGGTCGATTTCGGTGTAAACAACGTCAACGCCAAGGTCAGCAGTCGCGCGGAGGGCAGCCTCGAGTGTTGCTTGATCGGGAGCGGCACCAGGAGCGGAAGGGGTGGGCTCGCTGGCAAGATGGGCCTGGTAGCCAACACCGTCGATGCGGACGCCGTAGGACTTGATGAGCTTGACGATACGCTGAGCACCCTGCGTCTTCTCCGCGTTGTACTCGAGGTTGTAGTCGTTGTAGAAGAGATCAGCCTTGCCGCGATACTTGTTGGCGAAGCGGAAAGCAATGGGGAGGAACGCATCGCCGATGGTGTCGTACCAGACGCTGGAGCGGTAGGTACCGTTCTCGTTCAAGGCCTCGTTGACTACGTCCCAGCGTGTGCAAACGCTCTTGTAGCGGGTCATGACGGTCTTGATGTGGTCCTCCATGATGCCAATGAGGGTCTTGTTGTCGAAGCCGCCCTCAGATACCCAAGCAGGCAGCTGAGAGTGCCAGACCAAAGTGTGGCAGTGGACCTCAAGCTTGTTCGCCTTGGCGTATGCCGCGTAACGGTCGGCATCCGCGAAGGTGTAGTTGCCCTGGTTTGGGTGAACAGACTCAAACTTCATCGCGTTCTCGGGAGTGAAGGAGTTGAAGTCGGCCTTGATGATCTCGCCTTCGCGGGTCTCGTTGCGGAGGGTCAGGGCTGTGCCGATGAATTCCCTTCCTGCCTTCTTCATGGCCTTGTAGAGACTGTCCTCCTTGGGCTTGCCATGGCCGTATGTACTATCTCAATGTTAGCTGGCTACAATGGTGGCGGGAATGCGGATGACTTACGGGCTGGCAACAGCGGAGCTGGCAATCGCCAGACTGGCGACGATGCTGGAGAAACGCATGGTGATTGAGACTTGGAGTGTTGACTGATTCGAGGTTGTCTACCACGGATACCCTTAAAGACACGGCGAGCCTGTCATCCTATATATTCTTCGACGGTTATTCTAGAAGTCTAGCGTATGCATGCTCAATCAATCTATCCGCTCTCGCGGTTCATCTTCACCCCAGTCGTTTTGTTTAACCGGGCTCGTGGCTCATGTGCGAACTTGCCCTTCGCCGCTGTAAGTCCTTTGACCTGGCTGCATGGCGCCACCTGCTTGCGGGTTGCGGAGTTTCTCCAGACTAATCCACAAATCAACCGGCTTGGACCTCGGGATCATCGGGGTCTGGTCCTACTTCTGGGGTAGACGTTCTGGGCGCCGCTGGCCATTGCCTAAGCGAAATGCACATCCGGGGTAGACAGGCACGTGAGATGCAGGTCCCACTCATGTCGACAACGCAGGTGCAGATACGGCTGCGTTAATGGAGACTGGCCGGTTAATGTCAAGTAATCCTCAGCCTCAAGCGTTCACTCCATCCATCCGAGGGTCTGATGCACTTGTCGGCGGTGGTGGTGAGGATGGTAGAAGAAATGGCAGAAATGAGGGGAAGATGCCTGGTTGCTGGGTTTGGCCGCTCAGGGTCCGCGCTCACGGTTGATTGACGACCCACAACACCGTAAACTGCGATCAACATGCACATCAATATATCGCGCATTCCATCTACGTCAATCAACCATTTTGTTTATTATTATCATTCTTTCCCCACGTCGCATCCATCATTGCATTCTCTGTCCTCCAAGCTTACACTCCAGTTCTCCGGCAGATCTCATTAAACTCGATGACGACAGGAGAAGCTGTGGAGATTTAGCCCACCCGTAAAGCCACGAACCACCTGGGCATCGTTTCCTTTTTTAGCGCGAATGTTTACTTGTGCGTGTCCCGCCCCAATGACCAAGATCGCACTTTAGCCATTTTAACCGGCGCCGCATCAACTTCCTCAGATCGCATTCTGGGCGTTTTCTCAGTGAAATGACACCGATGACATTGAGTTTGCCTCATGAAAGGGAACTTGTTCGAGAGCCAGGTGCGGAAGAGTCCGTAGATGTGGCAACCGGAGTAATGGGGCCGAAATCAGTGCCATGACTCGACGCGCGTCGCCTCGTGACAGTGCGTGCAGAACGCTCATCAACACCATCCACCTCATCACCTCTCAATTCGTTTATGTATGATTTCCAGCTAAGCATACCGCGTTGTACGATATCCAGATGGCCTACGATCGACGAGTGTCCTACCGGGATTAATCCAGCTGGTGTTTCTTTCTAACATTGAATACCCACAACGCCTTCTCAGATACTCGTTATGAGAAGTGTTGGAATCCTCTGCGATCAGAACATGTCTGCTTTATGATCTGGATCACATCGCTGTTCACCTCCATGAAGCTTCAGAGATCCGGACACGACATACATTATGAGTTCCAAGTATCAGCAGACGTATCGCATAAATTGCGGGAGCCGCCCCAAAGACGACGGGAGGTAACAGATTGTTCATGCTGACGGCTACCGACACGGACATGGATTTATAGCGGGCTCTACACCGGCCACAGTACCGATGGGTGCTAACGATCCAGGAAGATGGTATTCACGTTTACCGACTGCTGCACACAGCCGGCGAAACTCGGCTGCAGCGATTGTGAATGACATGATCGGTCGCATTGCTCTAAGTGTCTTCGTGTGCAGTATTTTACTCATCCAACTCCACAGTCGTCCTTCATTTAGACTTTTGTCTCGAATTCATCGCTCTGCGCAAGTCTTCAATTGAGAATCTTGTCACCAGGCTTCTGG